CAATATTTGTTTTCTCTTTCCAAGCGGTTGGAGATAGTTGTAAGTTCTTCGTCTGTTTGTGGGCGTAAATAGTCTACAGCTAAGCGTTCCATTGCTTTAAGAACATCATGAAATTTTCAACAGATAGTCTCTTGTCCATGACCAAACCTTAGTGTAATATCACGTTGCGTATCATTTTGGGCACAAATGATCAAGAATATTGCCACACTCTCATCAAGGCTTATGTTGGTCGAACTTTCCAAGCCGTACCTCCCATGTAGAATTTCACATGACTGAGTAAATTCCTGTGAACTCATGTGAATAAGTGTCTGACATGAAATGTCGTTACCGTAAATTTGATCTCGAATAATAAACCATCCTTTTCCCGGCTCTGAAGTTATAGGTTGTTTGTAAAAATATTTTGTATAATACTACAACATAGGAGATATGCATTATTCCACAGTCTTTTCTTCTTCTAATAACATCAACTCTGTAGTCTCTTCGTCATCAAGATATTCGATTCCACGTGAACGCAGTTCAACAATTCGAAATTCCTGATATTTCAAAGAGATTAGAGTTAGAAACTTATGAAACTTATGAAACATATATTATTGATGATTCATATAACAAATTTTTGAAATATTTATTAAAACACACATCAAACATAAATAACGAACATATAAATCCATCACTAATTTCTCCATCATTTTCCCAACCATCACTAATTTTCCCATCATTATTCGTAGGCCTATTAAAAAAGTTTATCATTTCTGGATTTTTATCATAAGTTGATCCTCCAGCCCTAGGAGAGTCAATACGAAACAAGGAAGAATAATCTGTTCTTACTAAGTCTGAATCAATGTTCCCATAGCGAGGAGAATAACTTGGAGAATTATGTGATATAAATCTTGCAGGTGTAGGGGTAGGTAAAATATTATCAGCTTCTCTGTCTGATAGACTTCTGGTGAGGATATATGTTAAAGAAACACAATTCGTGAGGTTGAGACACGATAGGATGCGTTTCGGATGGAATGATACGAAAATGATGCGGTGAAGCTCGATGAGGTTCGTTTCGAGGCAGCAGATTTACTCCAAAGAACTTGACAATGATGGATCTATGGATTCAGTG